AAGCAGTGGTATCAACGCAGAGTACTCAGTCTGTGAAATCCGCCGAGTTACGAGCCTATGAAAACACGTCCTCATAAATTTTGCCCAAAATCTAAAGATCGCAAATCTCGTCGAAATTCCACCGTGAGCGCTTGTATGACACTCGCATTGCGGATATTGTGTTCGCTTCGCCCAAAAACTCCCACTGTATTGAATATGGTACTTGCATATGCTTCAGCTGCTCAGTTGAATATCAGAGCTATTTCAGTGGCTAGAACTCAAACTACTAAATCTAACACAATACGATCCATTAAGGACGCGAAAGATTTTGATCAGCGTGTTGTACAAGCGCTCACGGTGGAATTTCGACGAGATTTGCGATCTTTACAATTTGGGCAAAATTCATGAGAACGTGTTTTCATAGGCTCGTAACTCGGTGATTTTTACAGACTAGAGCCTGATTCATGCACCATTCGGTAGCGCAGTTCCTAGTAACTTTGGCTGAGAAAAGCAAGCAGGCAAGGTTGCTGACAGATACACGAGAAGTGCGGGCCAATTTACGCACTTTCGTGATGCAGTTACAGTCACCTCACCGTATCTCACCAAAAAGACCCTGCAATCCTCAAAGACCACGATTTTCGTAAAGAGCGTGTTCGAAAACCTCTATAAGCGAAGTTTCCTTACAATTTAAGAGCATGAACATTTTGACCAAAATCCATCGGCCAGCTTCAGAGCGTGAAACGAGAAAAAATGAAATTACTTGAATATCTTGGAAAACTTGCACTTAAGGGTTATCCGATCTGCTGGTTACGAAAATCACATCTGCTTAGCAAGAGAGCTTCATATTTTAGAGTTACGTTGAGAAAAATTTAGAAGGACATGATTTTTCCAGAATTCACCAGCCCTTCTAACTCCTTTGAAAAGGAGTGTGCGGCTACTTTCTAGCGCTCCATAATCTACAAAAGAAGTACTATCGAAAATTTCTTTCTGAATGTACTGGGGGCAATACGCGCTGCTTCACACCTTTGCGAAGAGACGTCCGCAGAAAGTTTTGAGAATACTGAATTCGAGATATCAAGGACATTCTGCATACCGAAAGATTTGCCTTGATGAGCTGAGCACAATGCATTTTTCGGATTCAGAAAATATCCACTCCAAAGAAAGTTACGGCGAGTAGAATCTGGAAACGAGTGATTTTTCCAGAATTTACCAACGCTTTTTTCTCTTTTGAAAAGAAGTCTGCGGCAGCTTACTAGCGCACTATAATGCACAAGAAGAGCACTATCGAATGGTGCTTACTGGAAGCTTTCAAGTTGGATAGGCGCTGCGTTACATACTTGCAAAGGGACCTCCTCAGAACAATTTGAGAAAACTGAAAACAAGATATAGATGACACGACGTATGTAGAAAGATTCGCCTTGACGAGCTGAACACAACGCTGCTTTCGAATTTAGAATATATTAATTCCGAAGGAAGTTATGGCGCTGCATAATTTGCGATAATCCGGAATCGCGAAATTTCTGGAATTTCGCGCAATTCCCGTTCTGTGAGTGGTATTGTACATTGCACAGCACGCGCGGCATTCCGCGATATGTGCTTATCATGCGATTTCCAACCATTTCCCTTTGTCCTCCTGCATTTTGGGACCCGTCATACTTCGCCGAGAAAAGCCCACTTTCACACATATCCATGCAGAATGAGCTGCCCAGTTTCACATATATCCATGCAGAATGAGCTCTTAAACTATACCTGCCCTATTTCTGCTGTGCTCAATAGAATGTGTACGTAGCCTCTGGAATCAGCACACTGAATGGTCCATTTACACTAAAATTCCAGGAAAGAAACTTATATCCCACAACTAGGCACATCCGTATATTGGAAGATGCGCCTCGCCGAGCTGAGTTGAATGGTACTCTTATATATAGAATTCATAAATTTTGAAGCAAGATAAGGTCTTTTTTTATAAAAAGTTAGGCGTTGCGCGACAAAGTTAGGTGACTTTGGCCGCTTTTCCGCCGACTTTTGCCGCGCGACGCGGCAAAAGTCACCTAACTTCGGCGGCGCCGCGTAAGTTAAGTGCCGCCGCCATTTTTTTTCACAAATTACGGGTGGTATTGTATATGAGGGGGTACCATTCGATAGAGCAAAGAAAGCTCTACAAGATGACTTCCGAACATTGGCAGAACTTGTTGTTAACGTAAAGTTTAGAGCCAAAACATACGAGCAACTCATGATGCCAAAAACTGGATCTTGGCCTAGAAAATCCTGCGAACCTCTCACTTGCTCCTGCATGTTAAAGACACATGCACTTATCCATAGATACACTTGCTATATTCTTTGCATGCTTAGAAACCAAGAAAAAAACTGAAAAATGGAAAGTGACAGACTCTTCCTCCAGTTATTGGTCACTCCCACATATGCCTTTGTATACTATAAAGCTTTGAAACTCAAAACTAACTTGAAACCATAAAATTTTGACCTCGAATATGCTCTAGTTCTCGAGAATAATATCAATTTTACCCGAAGAAAACCGAAAAAAACGACATTATTTTCTTGACAACCTAATAGCAATGCATCAATCTCAAACGCTTTTCCTTTCATCTCCTTTTGGGCATAGATAGTGCGAAGTACTAGTGACGATATAGCTACTTTTGTTGAGGCTGTTCTACCGCAATTCATTTTGGAATACCGATGAATCTCTTCCCCAAAATTCTCCTTTTTTTGCCAGTCTTTTTTTGAACGACTTGAAAGGGTGCTTTCAGGAAGCAGAGTTTGGTGCACAAGTCCCTCAAACTTTATCATCAATTTCAATTTTTGTAAAATCTCAGGATTTTGAATATTTCGAGAGTTATTGATATGCAAGTGTTTATGTTAGTCAAGATTGTCACTGCTTGCTTTGCTTGCGCAGCTCTTGCGTCTCTGCTGGTCTCACGTGCAATCTGGGATTCATAAAAATCTTCGGTTAGGAAGGCAAGCAAACTGTGGTAGACTGTCCAGTTCATAGCCATACTGAGAAAAACTTAAATGAGTTACATTTCAAAATCACCGTGACTTAAGTCAACTGCATATTTTCGAGCAAGACAAATTTGCCAGAGAATTAACGAGAGTAATTGTCGTAAGGCAGGGAAATTGGGGTATTTTTTGCGATGCATGGTTAAAAAACGCTAAAAAAGATAGCTTGAATAAGTGGTACCAGCTGCTGTTTCGCAAAATGTCATTGTTTTATACTGATAGTTCAGAAGAAGTCTAAACATTCAACCAAGAAAACAAAGGTTCAAATTGTGGATCTCAACTCTCTGTTACGCAATATCAGCAACAGGTTAGCTTTCCAATTATTAGTTTTTATTTGTACTAGAACGTACAGAAATTTTCCTGAGCTTCAGGTTCAAATAATGATCTCGTGTACTGTTTGCAAATTAACTCGCATGGGGTTTTTAGCGCGAAAGCAAGCTTTAGGAGAGAAACTTAAAGATGTTTCAGCTGCAGTTTACATTTGCTCATGGCATTCTCTCACGAGGGATTCTCATTTTTCAAGAAACTGGCTTCTTTTCCTTTTGCTTGTTGCAGCAGTATTTACAAATACTACCGACAGACAGCGTAAACATGACGTTTTTTTCCCGCTTTCCCGGATTTTCTCGGGAGCAGGCATCAGTCTCACATTCCCTCTCACCGTGGCAAAGCACAGTACACTAATTCGTGCAATGCTCATGACAAGGTTTCTGCTGGTTTGAGCTTTTCATTCGTCGATAATGAATGCTGTTTTATAGAAGGGGATTTCTATGGGGTCTTATCTTCGTTTTCGTCTACATTATCGATTTGATGATGGCACAACCAAACGAGATGTTCTGGACAGCGGGAAGTAACAATTTTCGAAGTCGGCATCCAAGATCTTATTATGGAAGCCTTAGTTACAAGTCATTTGAGGCGCGGGGATTCAGACAGCCACCTGCTGTCATAAAAGAGATTTGACGCATTAGATGAGTTATTCTTTCTACTAGACGAAAATAGATCTTTTCAGCCTGCACTATGTCCGTTTTTGATCGGCATTCATACGCAGAGTGAGGTTGAATTCGTTCGACTTGTCGTTGGTGTCCTTGCAAGAATTCATTGTTAGACTTTAGTGCATATCCAATCTCATTTTTGTACACAAATAGTCTTTGCGATTTGCTCAGGTTATTGAGAAGAGTTTCAATGTGCAAAGAAAAGATGTACGCCATTTGTACAGCATTTTAGGTTCGTATTTGAAGTCAGACACTGTAAATTGGCAAAATAAACGCTATTCTGCTTTCCAGAATTTCTTTCTTCTATTCTTTCTACTTCTGTTGGAATAGTACACTCTTTGATATTTTTCTAGATGTCAAAAAACTGTTGTATATTTGGGATCATTTCAGTACCAATTTGACAAATTAGTTTGTCTTCTTTTAAAATTCCAGCAAAACACATCAAGCGAGTTTAACTGCATTTCTTCCGTTTGGATGTCAGACTTTGCGTAGAAATTCGAGTTGTTCAGACTATTTGCGTACTTTAGGTGTAAACACACGCTTTTTTCCGGCCAATCAAGATTTTATTGATTGATGCTGCAACATCCTATTTACTGGCGATTATTTTTCATATTCATCAATTTCTTGATCATCTTTTTCCTCATTCGACGTTCGTACGCTGTAAAATCATGGAATCTGCGGCTGCCATAACCATCGTCTTTCATGGGAGGGTATTTGGCTCTGAAGTACATATTTGGAGTTTAAATGGTTAGAGCCCACAAAACAATTTACTTTGGTGGAGACGTAGCTACTTCTTCGTCGACAGGTTCACCTGGTGGCGGGGCATACTCGTTGAATTTGGGACCATTAGTACGGGTCACGACGTCAGCCAGAATATTTTGTACCCCGCAGTCCGATGGGCAGTATGACGCAGGCATTCCTGGATAATAGAAAATTATTAGCAAATAAAAATCGAAGCTATTATATCTTGCGTTGTGCATACCTGGATCACCGGGAGGGCCATAAGGACCTTCCAGACCCATTGGTCCTTCTCCACCCATTGGTCCTGCTGGTCCGGCTGGTCCGGGACTTCCAGGATTACCCGGGTTGTTCGAACTTTTGCCTAAATGCACAATAAGCACGTTGATTTTTACTATGAAGTCCTCATAAGATATTCACCGTGTGGTCCTGGCCTTCCTTTCATTCCTTGTGGTCCAGGTGGTCCCACAGGTCCCTTGATTCCTACACCAGCAATAGCTTGGTCTCCTTCTGGACCTTTTGGTCCTAGTGGTCCCTAAAAACCAATTGTTTGCGAAAGTAAGCGTAAGAGCAACGCTAGGAGACCTTGAGTCCCTCCGGTCCAGCGAAACCTGGATTTCCAGGAGGACCATCCACTCCACTAGTGCCATCCGGTCCTCCTTCTCCTGGTTGCCCTGGATGTCCAGTCATTCCTCGCTCTCCTTGTGGCCCTCTGAATTTCGCAGTATATTTTCATAGTTGTTTTTACAGACCGCAAAAATTATCTAACCTCACTCCAGGAGGTCCTGCAGGGCAAACAACGCAAGGTAGATCTGGTTCGGATTCTAGCTGCACGTCAAAACCATCTGCTCCAGCAACACCTTGAGATCCCGGCTCACCCGGATTACCATCTGGACCGGGTGGTCCTGGTGGTCCAGGCGGTCCCGCAGCGCACGCCAGGGTGAAGCATCCTGGAAGAATTTTTGTGGATTTTTTGTTTTTTGCAACGTATTATTCTTATCGGTAGAGAAAGTTTACTGTCAGACCAACCTTTGCAAAGTCCACTATCGAGCCATGCTTTTCTAGGTTTTCTGCTAAAGAACCGCACTTTTCCAAACCCTTGTTCGCGTAGCTCAAACATCTCATTCCACATCATGTCAGATGATTCCTAGAGATTCTTTCTTTGCTTTTTTGTTAGCGAAAATCCACCTAACTACTCACTCTAAACTTCTTCGCATATTGTGTGAGCTCTGCGTGCTGGGACCCTGTCTTCACGTAGAGTATTGGAATTGCTATTGCTAGCACACAGATTGTAATTGTTGAGACAGATATCGAAATCAAAGCCGCTCTGTGGAACGCATCATAGGAGCCGATAGACATGACTGAAAATTTAAGCATTCTGAGACGTCAATACCGCCAATAAAAGCAAAAAAATGTTATCGAAGAGTTTGCATGAAAACGGTGAGATAAGAATTTCATTAACAAACAACATATACGGTCTATGTCAAGTGAATGTTCCCTTAATCCTAGGAGCTATCGTTTATTCGTTGACCGTAACGACTGCTGACCGCGCGGCGACCGCTGCGCGTGCATGATGTTTTTGTAGAAAAGATGAATAGAAAGAAAACAGAGGATTCTTCTCATCTTTATAATGTAGAAAAGAAACAAAGAATTCCTCTCATCTTAAGCCACGGTCCAACTTGTCACTTTTTCGCAAGTTTAGAAGGCACGCGTCGCAGTCGCCACGCGGTCGGCAGTCCGTACGGTCAACGAATGAACGATACGCATCCCCTGCGTGAGGGTCCTGCGCGGCGAGCTATAGTCAACTTGGCCAGTTTAAAAAAATTGGCTCTATTGATTGTAGATTAATAGGGTCAGTTCGCAAACGAACGCAGCGCGAAGCTCCTGCGAGGCACTGCTTTAATGGACCTCACGATTGACACAGGCTTATACCTGATTCATAATTAACTTATTGCGTGTATCACACAGTACGCGCGGTAATCTAGACGTACGTGATATGTACATACAGTCGCATTCCAAGAAAATTTTTCTCTTTTCAACACGATTGAAATCGAAAACAAAAATCAATGCAGTCAAAGCTGATTTTACCTGCAGTTTACTGAAATGTCGTGAGTTGCAGCGCGCAGTGCGCAATCACACCCAGGAATTACAAATGATTTTGCTGCAGAGTTTCAGCAAATCCAAACAAAAACGGTAAATGAATAAACGCTATAATGATTTCAACAAAACATATGCTCTAAAAATTGATAATTTTACGAATGGAGAATCAAAATAATCGGAAGTCAAAGCCGGTATGGATTGTTATTTTTTTTAGATGCACGAAGATTGCTGAAGTATTTAACGCTCGACAAAACTGGAATTTCAGTCCATGAAAGAGAAATATGTTATAACCAATGACCAGAGAATAATATATGACTGATTGTGCGCGATGGAGATCTCGACGCGGAAGGTAGTGCATTTAGTGAAACTGATTATCAGCCGCGGAGAAATGCGATTTGAGACACTCACAGATGTTCTCCGTACCGCAGTTTAATTTATAGGATCTTGAGAAATGGGTCAACGCGTCTCCCAATGAAATCGACTTTGTGGTTCTGGGCCACCGAAACGTGTATCCAGAACATGTAGCGAGTTTTCGTTTCTGACACAACGGCCGCTACGCGCATTTGCAACATTTTTTATCTTGATGGAACTTTTTCGGGTCTCAACCGACGACCTATTTTTCGTACTTTCGCTGAAATAACTTTACGTTTTTGATTTCATTCTGACAAGATTTTTTGGAAATAATGTTAAAGCCACGAATTTTTCTCTCAAAGTTTCAAACATAAAATGGGAGTCTTTAAAACATGGCTCGTTAGTCGCTGTCTAGCGTTGTTATTCAAGCTAGGTGAACAATAAAAGGGTTTCATCCGACGCGGAAGATTCTTTTTTGACAATCATTAATCTTTATAATTCCAATGTGACTTGTTGTATTTTGAAAGGACTACATCATGAAGTTGTAAAGCTTGAAAAATGTTTTTGCTATATCGCAGCTACAGATGCAAATGGAGTAATAAACTTAAATCCTCTTTGAAGCTTTCTGTGGCTAAAATACTGAGATCGGTCAGTTGGTAATCCCAGGCCACGACTGGGGTTTTTGAAAAAACGATTTTGCTTAAACCTCCGGTTTATGCAGTGATGTGCAGCTTGTATTACCCTAATTTCACGCGTACAAGGCGCGGGGGATTTTTTTTCCAAAATTGACTAGCCCAAATACGCCAAAGAACTTTGCAACCAAAGGGCCCTATGCCGTCTGTATATTGCTTAAGAGAATCGTACGGCATAGGGATCGCTTTCCGAAATACTTTGGAGCGGCTGAGGGGCTTGATTGAAAAATCGAAAAAGGTGCGCCTTGTACGCGTGAAATTAGGGTACATGGAATAAAATATTATTTCAAGAGTCTGGACGTTTTCTCAATTATTTTTGAAACAACTTCCCAGAATTTTTGCCAGACTTACATCTAAGTCATAAAAAAAACCAACCTTTATTAGGTTTCAAAACTCTGAATCATTTGATATCGGTTAATCTGTTGGTCACATTACAGTTTATAACTTGAATCACCCGATAAAAATTGCTCTGGCTCGTTCGAAAATAATAAAGTCATTTTAAACTCATCAAAATCTTTTCGAACGTTCTCCGAGTTCTTTTATGTTTTCTGCTTTATAAAATAAACCCAAGCGGTTCTTCGCAAAATTTGGTTGAAGAATTGGTTTAGCTTCATGAATTCGAAAAGCAGGACAATCCTGATAAACATTCCGTAGATAGACAAAAAATATGGCCTTTATATAAAACAGATTTGTTATTCCTTTGAAGACAAATGAGAGCTGGGCTAAACGGGCTTAAAGGCGGATCAAGTATATGTTGTTTTCATCGAGCATCATTATCGTATTGCAGTAGCCAAATTAACATTTGGCTGCTCGAAAAAATACCATTTCCTCTCGCCGACCGAAAGTGTACACTGTACGCAAGCAAGACTTTGAGAATTTATATAACATCTTTTCAATAACCTTTTCTCTTGCTTTATAATTGCGCACGAAAGTAGAGAGCAAGCTTCCGCCTCTACAATTAAGTAAGGAAATTTTAAAATCGATTCGAAGAGAATTTCTGATTTCAAAAAGATGGATATGAAGCGGCATACGGAAAATTGGTGTAATTTTGGCCTTCCTGAGTGCTCCTTAAGATCAGAAACTGTTTTCTAAATCAGATCCAAAACTATCTCAGCTAATCTTTTCTAACTATATGCTCTTCTACGTGCTTCATAAATGGGAAACTATTATTTACCTAGAAAGTTTTGCATGTCTGGGACCTAATAAACGATTTTGAACATAAGGCACTGCTCGTGCTTAGGTATTTTTCGCGAATACATTTTCTTATTCCGTGAAGGAACAAATTCTGTAGATGCATGTTGACCTGTGTGATAATGCAAATTGTGCTCTACAACTTCAGCTTGAAAGGGTTTAGAAAGGCTTTGAGTCTATTCGATTACTGAGCAAATTATGGAGGTATAGAAATTTTATTTTTGAAATTTTTTGGAATTGCTAATCTGATTCTTTTGATTCACAAATTCTTGGAAACAGGTCTTCATGAATTCAATGAAATGTATCTTTTAGGGATTGATAGTTCTTCCTACGAGACAAATCTGAGCTTGTATTTCACAGTGGCCCCTTCGTGGCTGTGTTCGTAAAATTGGCGCCGGTAATTTTGGCGTAGCCTGTAAATAAGATCTGTAAATGCAGTTCTAAAATATCCTCCTAACGTGGAACGTGCATAAGTCTACTGCACAGGGCATCTTGTTACTCTTCATTTATGAACGTCTAGTAAAATCCCTTCAATAAACACATCTAACCGTCTTCAAACAGTTGTATTTGAAAACAGGAAGGGAATAGCAGACCTCAAGAACAGAAATGGTGCAAATTCGCGTGCGTGGCACACATATCTACCTTTTGATTCAACTGGCTTGGCGACTGGAAGGCGGGGCTTCGTGACCTAATTAAGGTTACATAATGATTGGAGAGTACGCACGTGAGAGAGACGCAGACTGCATCGCGGGTGCGAGCGGCCTTAGTTAGGTCACAGAGCCCCGCCTCCCAGCCGCCAACAGTTAAATCGAATGTTAACTGTAAGGGGCTATTGTGTTGTGGATGAATTCGAGTTGGAACATGTGCTCAATATAGGCAACACATGCTTATACTAAAGCAGTTTCAATTTTGGGGAGATATGAGGCTCTAAAACCACCCATATATGATTGAAATTAGTTGAATCAAAAATTTTCAAATATATGAAAATGTCTAGGTTTTCTAAATGGAAAGGCTCAAAGCAATATTCGATAAGCGAGTTTATCGTGAAAAAAAGTCAACGCAATGACAAATCAACTATGTTTTTCGTATATTCAGTCTATCAAAATGCATCGTATGTCCAGCTAAAATCTAGAAATCTTCTAATTCTTCTCCTCCTATCATCTTGTTTCGATCCACGCTGAAAATAGTTGTCGTGGTCATACGTAACACAATAATTACAAAAAGGTAATTACTATTTGCGAAGCCGCGTTTTCAATTTTCAAAATCATGACATCATTGCGGGCCAATTTCCTCCATGGAATAGTGATGAACCTGATTATTAGGGATGGACCAGCCCCTGGTTCAAATGAGAGATCGGTACCAAGGAAGGTGACCCTTGTCTGTAAAGATAATGTCAATGTGAGACTTTGTATTATTAGAGAAAACAAACCCTCTCCGTTGTTTTGACCATCTTCAATTCCAAATCTTTGGTTGGCATATCTAGTATCCATGCATAAACAATGGTTTGTCCTTCAATTTGTGGATTGTATACCCTGTTTTTCGGTAATGTAGCTGATAAGATACGAGAGGTGTACCTGGAAATCTGACATTGACTTGGAATGGTGTAAGAAGCAAAATTGTCTCACCAAGTATTTCCACTATCGTTTTGGTGAATCCATGGCTTTGTCCCATAAAGCGCTTCAGAGTTGGCGCTAAGGAACCTGAGACCGCACAGAAAATTTGATTTGGTGTTTATTTTGAATGATTTCAGCTAAGAAGATTCGTATAATTTACAAAAATTCCTTAAATGGCACTTTTTTAAGGTCTTACATTTTTTCAATTTTCTTGGAAAGAAAGCTATAGCAGAAATGAAAGAAGACACCCCCCTCCAAGGAAGATTTTGGGAAGCTTATTAACAGGCTTCCAATCCTGACTTCGAAACGCTTGGTTTTATTGCTTCAAAAAATACTTACAAGTGCTTGAAAATGAAAGTGACCTACTCGCGTTAGTAATATTAATGAATGTGAATGAGCAAATCACTATCAA